GGTTCTTGGACACCTTACACTTCCACTCAATCTCTAAGGTTATGAGAAACCTTTTCACTAAGGTCTCACTACTGTCAACTCAGGCATACAATATGAGAGTGTTTAGAATGATTAAGTACTCTTAAAGTACAAATTAAACAAGTTGAAGCTTATGGATATTGATAAATATCATAAAAATAAAGCTCAAAGAGATTTTATGATCAAGATGAGTACGAAAGAGTAATTGATATGTTTAATTCAAGGAGAATAGTCAATAATGATTTATGATCAATAAAACAGTGATTGAAGTTGGTTGGAGACGAAATAAATAAGTGTATATACGTTTTGGACCAAAACTAGTCGTTCGAAGCTTACTGGCTAGTAAGTAATCGATTACTTGTTCTCCAGAAAAGTATCTGATTACTGGTCAAGAAAATAACTATTTACTTTCTAACAACAATTGAATATGCAATATTTTTTAGTTCAAATGCATTCCAACTTGCTTTGAACCACTTTTTATGCAAGTTCTTCACTTAATAAGAATGTTTTGAAGTTATAAAACATGTCATTGATCTTTTCCATGAATTTTTCAAATTTCTTTCAAGTATTTAAAGTCATGGATGATGCATGTATGGAAATAGGTATACTTTGACCTCATTCATCCAATTTTAATCATTTACCTTTACATTTGAGTCTAAGTCCTGTAGATGTACTACTTGTAGGTTCTTTGACCTAGGTTCTTCCATTGTAGCTTGATTCTTGATCTCTCTTTGGACTTGGTCATATGATTTTATGATTTTGCATCCATTGACTTGTTGAATTGTTTCCTTGGACTTCTTTTTGATTGTTGTAAGTTGCATCACTCTTGAAGTCTTTTTCCAAACTTGTTTATTATCATAAAAACTCTTGTATTATTGAAATCTTCATTTTGAATGATTGGTTCTACAACATATAGCCAAGACTACTCCAATAGTGGTGAGTCTAACGAGAATATCTTATTAAAATCAATATCTTCCTTTTGAGCATACCCTTTGACCACTAGTTTTACATGATGTTGTTCCACTTGATTGTTATCATCTTGTTTGATCTTATGGGCTTATTAATTATCGATGGGCTTTTGTCCTTCTAGAAGTGCAAAAGTTCCAATATCTTGTTCTTATTTAAGGATCCTACATTTCTTGCATTGCTCTCATCCACAAAAAGTATATGGATTACTCAAAACTTCATAAAAAGTTGATGGCCCACCCTTTTATGTGAGAAGATAGTATACATCATGGCTTTCCATAACATTAATTCTTAGTCCCAAAATGGAGTTCTTATCTAACACATTGATTGTTGAACTTCTGTATTACTAGTTTCATTTTATTCTTGTTTCTTATGCTTTTATCCTGCATTAAAAGAATTTTCTTTAGATTTTTCATATATTTAGACTGTAATAGTCTCCTTAGAAGTTCAATAATTTTGTTGTTTATTTTTTTTTTCAGTTTCTATCATTTGATACCACTCAACATTATTAACATAACTCAAGAATATGAATTTTCTGGATCTTGAATCCAATTTTATTCTTTCTTAGGAGTTATACATCATATATGCAAGACACCAAACAAATATAAGGAAGAATAACTTACTTTTTTGGCATCCCGTATCTCCATTGGTATTTTTAACTCGATTGCAATTGATGATGACCAATTTATCACGTAATAAGTAGTTTTAACTGCTTTTTCCTAAAAGACTTTGTTAATCCTGTTGAATTGAAGTATTATCACTAGGCCAAAAACTATAACTATTAGTCAGTGTTGGGTTTAGTATGCTCTTTTCACTTAAGCCCAATGGCTTTAGTGAGAGTGAGCCCAAAGTCCAATTCTTATCCCATGAAGCTTAGGGTTAGTTTTGGATTGGGCAGGGTATATAAACACACTTTTCTCCCTTGTGCCTCCTAGGGTTACAGACATCAGAAACAGACCAAAGACGCAGACGTTCATCATCTGAACGGTTGCCCACACGACTCCCTAATCCCCTTGAGTCATAGCCTGGAAGATCAACCGTAGAGCGGAATTGTGACTGTTCGTGGTGCATTGCTGCAGATCGTGAGGCTTGAGGAGGAGAACTGAACGTGAGAATTTGTCATGCTCGTTGCTTCATTCCAGGTAATCAAAGCGGTGTTCTTCATTCCTCATCACATCGGTATGATGCGCTTCCACGTTTCTGATGATATACCTTCAGTCAGAGCACAACTCTTTCTACTTACCTTTACAAACTCAAACTCCATGGCTCGATCTGATACCGATTCACACTTTTTTCTAAGGTAGCAGTTTCTCTTAACACCTTTACCACAAGAAAAAAAATTATAATTGTTAGTTATGGTACAACTCGTTTTACTTACTCTTATCCACCCAAGTATCATGGTTTGATCTAACTTTGACCTATAAAGAACCTTTTCAAGGAAATATGTTGGCTTTTCCAAGAAATCCCATACCTCTCAACATAACTCTTGTTCTTTTTAGGATATTTTTATTTATTCATTATGCTACACCATTTAACTAAGCTAAGTTGCCTTTAATTAACCTCTTGCTTGCAAAAGCTATAATAAATGTAAATTAGGGGATTAAAAAATGTAGTAACAAAAATTAATTATACATTAGCTTAGTTTAATTTTTGATTTGCATATAAAAATATATGAAAAAAGGCGTTGAAAAATATTAGTTAACTAAACTTATTAATTTGATCAAATTATCATAAAATTAATCGTATTTCATGTATAAATACAAATATAAACTAGGAAAAGACTATTATTATTATTATTATTCTCAGGAATGTAAATATGTTGGGATAGATTAAGCTTTAACCCAAATAAGTCATATTTATGTAGAATATTTTGAGTCTTATGGCGTGTTAGTTTGATGAAGGCTAAATTATATATTTAACCTTGCCTTCTTGAACTTCAAGGTCTACTATAATTCTAATTGTAACAAATTAAAAATGAATTGCTGTATAAATTAAAATAAAATATTAAATATGAAGAACTCTTATTACTACCTATTAATCTCTTTAAAGTATTTCTCTATGTCAAGGAGAAATAAATCTAGCTTTAAAAATTTGAATATTCAACTTAAAATATCATAAACCAATTAACTTAATTACCATACAATACTAAAAATTATTTTAAAATAGGCCCGTGGCATGGTTGTCAATAAGTTCTTAAAAAAAGATATTGAAACCTGCCCTATTTTACTCCTTGAACTAGGTCAGACATGATAGACCAACTGAGTTATTCCCTCTAAAAATTATGCGAGCAACATGAGTGTGTTTGTGTTGCTGCCTTCAGGCTTCAGCCGTTTTTAGGAGTCTTCCCTATTGTCTCTTTCCTACTCCTAGTTTGGTCCCAGGCCCAACAACCATGTTAGTAGATTGGTCATGACGCTGCTCCAAGGACAATAACTGCTCTAATTGTAGATTTTAATCTTTTCCTGATCTATTTTTTCATATAAGTCATAACTCATAAGCAGGAGAAAAATGTAAAATACTTTTAATAAATTTTACACAAATAAATTTGATCATATTATAATTATTTATATAAATATATATTTTTCTCGTAAACAATGACAAAGCCACGTTGAAATCAGTAAGTGCTTTGGATTTTCAAAAATAATTGACTTTTTATTTATAGAAGTATAAGAATAGCAGTTTCCTCTGCAGTTAGTATTGACTTTTTTTTTTTTTTTTTTTATAGAAATTGATGTTTAGCACTAGCTCCACTACTGCTCGTAAAATGAAAAAACATCCAAATCCCCTATTGACTGAGGTAGTAAATATGCTGCACACGCTTCAAACGGAGTCAAACTATAATGATATAAGTTTTAAAATTTGAATTGTAAATAAATTGTTAGAGCATTTTATCCTTAAATCATATTTAAATTAAGTGAAAAACACTTCTCATATTATATAAGAAGTTTTTCTCATGCTATTACTAAATAAATATGAAACCTATTACTAATTAAATTACAACATAAGAAAGAAAACACTTCTCGATAAGTGTTTACTAAACTAAATAGGAAATAGGGTTTGCCCATAAATTTTGTGTATCCTCTTTTGCATAAAGAAGTCATTACCTCGATAACATAAGCTTATTTTGTGCAGATTTTCTGGCAACGTCTTATTTTTATAGGTAAGTGCGTTTTGTAACGTGCGTCTCATTACCAGGACTGCTAACGTCATTACCATTAGGGGATGTTTGTTTCAAGTTTTTGAAGAGGATTACCGGTAATCTTTCTTTGGTAAATGTAATTACCACGTTTGGTAGAAGGAATAAATTACGATTCCCGAATATCCAAGGATTACCGGTAATTTGATTTATAAAGAAAAGTCACTATTCAGATTACCAAAAATAATATGGTAATTCGGAATACCAATCAGAATACCAAGTAAAGGGAAATCATAACAATAAATTTTGAGACAAAAATACCCCAATACACATAAAAATCTAGACTCAATCTATCAATTACAAAAGTAAAAATAGTTTCAGGTTATTTTTGTAAAATAACCTCATATTCCAAGTCATATTTCGTTCTAAACCAAATATGGAATCAGTAATTTTTACCCAATATTCCCGGTAATATTTTGGCCAACCAAACACCTCTTTCGTAAGATTCCAAGTAAACTCAATTTCTACTGTATTCCCATTAATCATGATTCCCGGTCACCAAAAATTTTCTCTTGTACCAAACACACCCTTAAGGGAATACTTAATAAATAATTATAATTAGAGTTAAAAAAAAAAAAATTAATAAATACCAGATAACGCGTTACAAACTCATCCGTACACATCCTTTTAAGACCATAATGTTTGAACGGTTAGGGTCTTTCTGGGAAGCAACAAACAACAGAGTCCTGAGAAGACTAGACCATATAGACAACATAACCTTACCCATTTATTCGGACACGTGACTAAATGCCATCCTCTCCCCTTATATATAAGTCCCCGAATGTGAAGGAACAAAAAAAAAAAAAAAAACAAAGCAAAAGCAAAAGAGGAAAGGAAAATAGAACTTAATTGGCTTCAAGAAAGCATCATCACAATATCGTCTATTATTATTATTATTATTATTATTATTCTCTTCCCCTCTGCACTTGCTTTTCTTTCTCTTCAGTCTTTGTCTCCCTCAACAACTACTATAGCCATGGAGAATATTGGTGATGAGTACAAGAATTACTGGGAGACCAACATGTTCCTCCAAACCCAAGAGCTTGACAGGTAACTCAATACCTAATTAATTAACTAACCATAGTTTTAATTCAGTGAAATTAAGAATAAATATTATTAATTATATTAATTGACATAAGGTGTTTTTGTTTAATTTTTGGGTCATTGCAGCTGGGGATTGGATGAGGCCTTATCCGGTTACTATGATTCGAGTTCACCCGACGGCGCCGCTTCATCGGCGGCGTCTAAGAACATTGTCTCCGAGAGGAACCGGAGGAAGAAGCTCAATGAAAGGCTTTTTGCTCTTAGATCGGTGGTCCCCAACATTAGCAAGGTAAAAAAAAAAAAAAAACACATCTTTTAATTAATTTAATTGATAAATTGTATTGAGTATAAGTACTCATATATAATTAGAAGAAATGATGATGTAATTAATAATGTTTTTTGTTTTTTTATGAGTGTTTTTGTAATGATGAATGGCGTGACAAATTTCACAGATGGATAAGGCTTCGATTATTAAGGATGCCATTGATTACATCCAGCACTTGCATGAGCAAGAGAAGACTATTCAAGCTGAGATAATGGAGCTTGAATCAGGGGTGATGAAGAAGAACCCAAGCTATGACTTTGAGCAGGAACTCCCTCTGCTTCTGAGGTCCAAGAAGAAAAGAACAGAGCAGCTACATGATTCTGTTACTTCTAGAAACTCCCCAATTGAAGTCCTTGAGGTAAAACCCACTCTACTCTCTCTCTCTCTCTCTTGTATTATTGATGCTATAAAATTGGTGTCGCCGTGTAGTGTATATTATTATTATTATTATTATCATCATCATTGGGCGTTTGATTATTCATTGATTTGTTTGTATTTGACAATTGACATATTTATTAGATACAAATAGAATTAATAATTAAAATTTAAATTGTAGTCGTGTAATGTGTGTCATTTTAAAGGATATAAACTTTTCGAGAAATATATAATTATAAGGGGAAGGATATTGTAACAATCAAGTTGTGTTACTACCATGTTACTATCAATCTGTTACTACCAATCAATCTCATCGTTAAATCGATTATGTTGATTCAACGGTTATATTTATTTCTATCTTTGTATGGTTATGATTCCTCATATCCCATATTTAAAGTGAAAGCATTAAATATGAGAAATCATAATCATACAAAGTTAAAATAAATATAAAGTGTTAAATTTAGAAAATCATGACCATACAAAGATGGAAATAAATATAACTGTTGGATCAACATAATCGATCTAACGGTAAGATTGATTGGTAGTAACATGGTAGTAACACAACTTGGTTGTTACAATATCCTTCCCTTAATTATAATATAAATATTTTTTTAATCTCCGCACTTCAGACTATAAGTTTTTGAAAAGTCTATGGAGATAAAAAAAATAACTTTTATATTATAAATATGTATATTATAAATATGGGAAAGGGTCTGTTTACAAACTTTCTAAATATAGTGTAGTTTGTATACAAAAAAGTTTGTAAATATAATTTTCTTCTATAAATATATATTACCCGGATTATTGTTATTATAAAATTTTCTTTGAATTTCTAAAGTGAATATCGAATAATGAATTGTGAGTGTTTGAATATGGTGGTGCAGCTCAGGGTTACATACATGGGAGAGAAAACTGTTGTTGTGAGCCTGACATGCAGCAAAAGGACAGATACAATGGTAAAACTGTGCGAGGTGTTCGAATCTTTGAAGCTAAAGATCATTACAGCTAATATCACTTCGTTTTCAGGAAGGCTTTTGAAAACGGTCTTCATTGAGGTTAGTCTTGTCTTTCAATCTTCTCCTTTTAATTTCCCTGTCCTTTGTATTATATAATATAATAATCCAACATCATTTATTCCTATTTAATTACCTTTGGTAGGTATAGGAGATCCAGCCAGCTTTGAATTTTTAATTTTCCCCAAATAATAAATGATCAAAACTTTGTATCAGATAAATTATTTTCAAAAATACAAAATTACAGCTAGAATTAGTGGCCTACGTGCTTGGAAACTAATAGACAACTTTAAACAAAAGTGGAGGTGTGGAACACCCATTACTGAATACTTGACTTTTAAGAGGATCAATATTATACTTTAAAGTTCGAACTAAAGTAGATTCCACCTCTTTTATGGCCTGTTTATAAAGCTATGTACATGTTTACTAATTATAGTTAGGTCCTTTCTCTCCAGAGTTAAGTGTCGCATTGCCTGATTTTTTGTTACTCCCTTAGTCTGTTTCCGTCAAAAAAATAAAAATAAAAATGGTCATATCCTAATGACTGAACCACTGACGGACTCAGAAAATTGTATTTGTGTGTGCATTGTGCATACTTAATGGTGGGTTCAGAGGCTTAAGTTATTATTTAATAATATATTACTATTTTATTTTAAAAAAATTGATTTATATATTACTAAATGAATTGTGAATCCATGTGAGAGATATACCTGTTTTGCAACGAGGTTTTTTGATTCTGCAACACTTAGGATATGAATATTGGTCACCACCAAGAACGGGTAGTCACCAAAAATTAATGTTTGCAATTGTAGACATAGGCACATATATGTAGGTCCGCCGTTGGCCTGAACTCTTCTAGTAGTGTAAAATTTTTGTCAAAAACTTAAATTTTGACAGAATTTTTATTATTTTCAACGAAAAAATCCATCGAAAAAATGAACTTTTTTAGTAGTATAAGAAAATACAGGACCCAAAATAAATTATAAAAATACATATTATTTACATTCTGTTATATGTTCGTAAAGAAAATAATAAAAACAAGGAAATGTTTTCATGATTTCTTTTTAAAAATTTCAAAACCTAGAAACAAAAAAAAAACAAAAACAAAAACAAATCATATAAAAATATTAATGGAAAAAGAAAAATACACAAAACACCCTTAATATAATATTTCTAGACCACTTCTTCATACTAACATATCTTTTTTAATTAATGATACTTCATAAATGTCAATAAGAGTTGTCGAACCTTCCATCCGTTCTTATCGTGCCTTATGGAGTCGTCGTGCTTTACCTAATCTAAATTTTTATATATAAAAAAGAAGAAACGAAATAATACTTCGTAAATCTTTTGTTCAATTTCATGTATAGATTCAGGGAAACAGTGAGGAAAATAAAAAACCATAGGGCCCCTTTATCCCCAAAAATTCCAAACACTATATTCTCTAATGTTCGATGAATAGATAAGCCTCATTCAACAAAGTGGATTGGATGGCAACGTAACGCAACAACCATGGTTGTTTTGTACACTGTATTTGGAAAGTCTCTATATGATTTAATTCCCAATCATCTATTACTATTAACCATACTTGATTTGGCCACTGAAAAACCACATTTAGCATGCTCCTCAATTCTCTCGCTCAAATCCATTTTGGTAGACAAATTTTATACGTCATACCTTGTATCATCAAAGGGGACAAAACAAATTTTTTTTTGATGTCATTGGAATAAAGTAAGATTATAGACACAGATTTGAAAACGTGTTTCTCATTCTTCAATTTCAGAAGAAGGGGTTCCTCGGCGTGTCTCTGACCATGTGCCACCGCGTGATGCAGTTTCACATTCACGCACGTTCTTGTTATTTTTCTTGTTCTTTATTATTATTGGTTAACAATTTTGCATATTATGCCAACTTTCCACCGCAGAGACTTTATCACTCATAGGTCCACGCACTATAAATCCTTGACAGCGTGGTAGCCCAATTATTATTTTCAGTCTACTCAAACGAATTGTCGTCTAGCTTCTTTCTAATTCCCACTCTGACCAATCCCTATCCTAAAACATACCAATTAAATATCATACAACTGTCGTATGATATATATATATATATATATATATATATATATATATATATATATATATATATATATATATATATATATATATATATATATGAGGTAGGATCCTTTGACACCCCATCTCAAACCCGTTCCAACAAAATAAATAAAGGACACTGATTTGCAAGCATGTGACACCATTGATCTTTTTTGATCTAACGACTCTGAGATGAGGTGTCAAAAATTGAAATTTGACACCGGTGACAAATGATCTTACCTATATATATATATATATATATATATATATATATATATATATATATATATATATATATATATGAGGTATGATCCTTTGATACCGGTGTCAAATTTGAAGTTTGACACCTCATCTGAGAGCCGTTAGATCAAAAAAGATCAACGACTCTGATTTGTAAGCATGTGACATCATTGATCTTTTTTGATCTAACGATTTTCACATGAGGTGTCAAATTTTAAATTTGACACCGGTGTCAATAGATCCTGCCTATATATATATATATATATATATATATATATATATATATATATATACATCTTCATTCACCAAATACATATAGTTTATTTATTTTTTTGGTGAGGGAGCGTGTTTGATATTTAATTGAAAATAAAAAATTTAAACGATAAAAAATGGGAAAACGATAAATTCATATGATCTGGTATTTGAATTGTATAATGGTTTTCAAGATTGCTAGCTTTGTTTTTAATTTTTTGGAGTGTTCAAACAGCTAGGTTGTGAAGTTTCTCTTGTTCTCTCTCCTTTTTTGTGTTACAACTAGAGGTGGTAATATGAGTTAAACCCGACGGGTCAACCCACCAATCCGTCAAAATGGAGCGGGTTGGCGGCGGCGGGTCAAAATGGGTTGGCGGCGGGTTGGCCCGTGGGGTCAATTTTTTTATTTTTTATTTTTACTATTAGTTAGCTTTTTATTTATTTTTAAGCTTTTGTGATATCTAATTTTTTGTTATCTTAGTACTTTCTAAAAAAAATATAGAAGAAAAACTTTATTTATGACAAAGGTAATTTATGTATGGAGATAAAAACAAGTTTGTAAAGAATATCTGACTTAATATTAGCATACATTTAGACTTAAGATTGAAAAAAAACTAAGAAAAATGTGATATGAAAATAAGTAATATTATAATATTAAAAAAATATAATTTATTTTTTATTTTTTAAGCGGGTTGACCCGACAACCCACCATAAAACAGGACGGGTTGGGAATTTCAACCCAAATTCAAAAGGTGGGACGGGACGGGCCAATCCACTTTTGACAGGTTAGCGGCGGGTTGGGGCGGGTCGATCCGTTTTGTTACCCCTAGTTACAACGTCTAAACGTTATTTCAAGCTTTAGGGCAAAAATTTGGTGAAACAGTGCTATTTTAGAACATTATTTTATTTTTAAGAAAAATGAAATATGTTTATTCTCAAGACTATTCTTTTCAGGCGCATAAGTTCAAATTTATTGGAAAATTTTATACCATACCCTCTTGTATTGGAGATTTTTGTATTTTGTTTTTATGAAGGCGTTTTATTTTTATGAGAGTACTATAGTTTAATAATTTTGTTGTATTTTATTGAATTTAGTTATATACTAATTTAGTTAAAATATAAATATAAAAATTATTTTGTTGTATTTATATTTAAATAAGTGGGATACTTAATTAAAGATTTATCACTAAATATTATTGCTTTTGCTGTCTGATACCCTGAGAATGATAGTAGAAAATTCTCCTCCTTTGAAAATATTTTGATTTAATTTGATATATTACATTTCTATTTCAAAGGAAAATTCATTTTTCATTACTAAGAAAGAAATTTTTTGACGACTACTGGGTTTTTTATCCATTGACTCAATTGAAAGGAAAATTGCATTTAATAGCAGTTTTTTTTTTTCTTTCTATAATATAGTCTCAGTGAATAACCTAATTATATGTTCTTTCTTTGATATCAGTTCTTATTAATTTTGGAGGGATGGAACAAACTTGTCCACCTATAATAAATAATAAACTTATAACAAACACATTAATGAGGTTTTGCTTATTGAAAATCAAGTATCAACCATACCAAGAAAGTTTCTTTATGCTAAATATGCCATTAGCGACAAGAAATAAAAGTTGAAGCTTTCTAGAACGTGCCGCATTCGGATTTGTGGTGTGATCATTTATAAAATGTATTTTTTTAATTTAGAACTTTTCTTTTGTCCATTTTTTTAATTCCTCAAGTTGATTGTGTGTTGTTTTTATCATTATATTTATTATATATGAGATTTGCCACAATCCTCTGATGTGTATGATAAAAATAAGTTAGCAAGTATTTATTGACTAATATCAACTGGAAAAACTATTTGTCGATTAATGATTGCATAATTAATATTTAATAGTCCATTAAATATAACTAGAAGACAATAAATATTCATAACTTACCATAGACAGGGATGCTTAAGAAATATTAAAAAGAAGTAGCGGATTATTTGTCTTTCTAATAAACAATTCTAATATATATATAGTTCGGATGCAATTGTTTTCTAAAATAATCGAGTTGACGTGGCTGTGTCTACTAAACCAAGAATTACTTTAACCGATTTAGTTGTACAGGTGTGAAGACCAAAAACTCTAAGAGCATAAAATTTCAAACGCATTATTATTATTGTTTAGAAGCTAAGCTTTCAACTATCTTGTGTTGTACGATACTCTTTACTTTCCTCTCAGTTATATATTTTGTACATAATCTTTCTATACAAAAATTATAAATGCAAGTTTAAAACAACCACAAAATGCCCAAACTGTGTATATATATTTTATTAAATGGATTGTGTTAGAGATATTGATATAAAAATATTAATGTGCTTACCAACAAGCACGGTACAGTTGATAGATGGTTGGGTCCCTCAAACATGCTGACAGAGGTTTAATCACTGGCTGTGTGTATAAAAAAATACTTTGTTGGTAAAGACAAAACTCACTTCGGTGATCTCTACGTCTCGAAAGGATTAGTTTTTTATTGTCGGCCGGAGGATATATACTTTGAGGAAACTCAAAAAAAAAAAATATTAATGTGGTTATTATTCATTATTATCCAATCAATGAATTATAGTCCCAACATGGTAATTACATTTATTATTTAGATAATAAATATCAATAAAAATATTTATTAATATATATAGGATTAAGTTATATTTACCATTTTTGTATCACCTCTTACCATCAATTTTGTTATTGTTAGATCAAAATCAAATTAACAGTTATAAAATGACATCAGGTTAGAACTATTGATTTGATTTTAATCTAACGATACCAAAATTAGTGGTAAGAAAAATTAATGTGATAAGTATAATCTCTCCCCTTATATATATGTTAGATTGATTGTCTCACTTATTAAGTTGATACAAGTTTGATCCTCTTCGTTATTAATATTTAGAGTTATTTAACATAGATGGATAGGCATGTGCATTGTGCATTGATTACTCTTTAAGGTCAAAGACTTTTGTTTTTTGTGTGGATATTATCCATCAATTTATGTATCTTGATTAGTCTAATTCGAATCCAGTAGGACCATAAAAGTGACAAAGTTATCTTTACCAAGTTTTTAACACAATTCGTTCCTAGGAACTCAAAAGGAAGATCATTAGTTAAACTGAAACAATCTCTTACCAGTTGATTCACATGCTTGATAGTAACCTCAAAACTCTTACATAAGGAGATATGTTAGAAATATTAATATAAAACAAAATATATATTATCATCATGTGAACCACGTTCATATTCATGATGTGTTCAGAACAAGATTTGCAAATGCAGCCAATAACAATCTGAGAGGTACTAGGTATATATATATATTATTAGCCTGTGCGTTTTGTGTTTCAGGCAAATGAAGAAGAGAAAGATGATTTGCAGATAAAGATTCAGACAGCCATTGCAGCTCTTAATGATCCTCTAAGCCCTATGAGCATTTGATGAATAAAATAATATATATATATACATTGGGGGTTATCATTTTCGGGTCACTAGTTTTATGAGTAGAAGGTTCAAAAACCATAGCTTTCTGGTCTTGATATATAGGAGTTTTCTCGTCATTACGTGCTATTTGGTTTCGTTACCTCCTTTTTTTCTTTCCACTCAATGTTCTCATCAGTGAAGAGTCTTCAACTTTGTTATTTGGGAATGTTTGCAAGTTTCCCCCTTTTTCATCCCCCAATGTCGTTGGCGTATCCAAATGTTATTCCTATAATATAATGAAAGTACATTTCATATCATCGTGGATATATTATCTTTTTGTTTTCTAATACCTTTTGTTACTTTTCTAATGTAGTGTGTAACATAATCCCATTTTTCTTATAGCACAAGATTTGAAGTTTTCTAAAATGGTTATAATTAGAACTAAGTTAATGTTTAACTAGAGATTAGTCTCCCACCTTTTAAATAATAAAGACACCTCATTTTAGCTATCCTATACCTTGAAACTAATAGATTAGCTAGTGATGCTTTAAATGAATATTTCAGTTGTCACTATTATTTTAATTTTTTGGTACAAGTTATCGCTATTATTAAGTGAAAGGTCGGCAAACCAGGTTCAAATCCACTATGTGCCCGTATAATGTGGCTTAGTAATAGGTTGGAGGTCCAAATTCTAAAATTTCTTTGACGGATTATATATTATATTCCATGTCCTGCTTCTAGAAGTAATATATATTATCCTCCCCAATACAATACCATATTTGAGAGGGATTTACCGTCTTGATTCTGAAATCGTCACAAATCAAATTAGTCATGAAGTAATGAACTGATTGAAATATTTCTAAAAATAATAATAATATATATTTGTTTATAATAAGAGCTCACAAAATAATTATAAGTTGCGAAAAGTGTTTCTTCATATAAAATTATTTTTTATAACTCAAAATGATGTTGTTTTGCGATTAAAAAAAAATACAAATTATTTTAAAAAAACTATTTCTATCTAGCAACATGAATTATTTTATAATTATTTTTTCGCAAATCTTAAAATGATGTCATTTTGAGTTGGAGGAAATAATTTTTTTTATCTCAAGACTAGAGTAACACTAAGCTCAATAAAATTAGAAAGAATCTTGCTATATACCTATATCTACAAAAACATACACCATAATTTGGGCGTAAGTAGTTAATATCGACTATAACATAAATACGAGGTTGATTGACCCTTTTGCCCTTGTTTTTGTTAACATTTTGCCCTCTTCTAAAATTGTACACTAATCTATCCCTATTTGATCATGTTGACCGTCATCTACTTGAGTCATTAGGCTAGTTACTCGAGTAAATGATTTAATCGAGAAACTGGCCTCAGTTAATCGAGTAGATGATGGCTAATTGGCAATAAGCAACTAAAATTTGGATTCACGAATATTTTTTATTCAAATCAAGTTTTAATGTCTTGTACATGTATAAATAGTCTTAAGATGAGTGTTTGTGGATCCTTTTCAATTGAGGACAATCCTCATCCATTCAAGATGTCCTCATATACATATGTGGACTACAAATCTCTGGGTGTGGGCAATTCGTTGAAGGCTGAGCTTTGCGGTATGATGTGAGGCCTTCAAGTTGCTTAGGAAAAGGGATTTCATAGGGTTTGATTGGAAGGAGACTCTGAAACGGCCATACACTTAGTTAAGGAGGGATGTCCTCATCAACATTACCTCTACTCCCTAGTGAATAGAATCCGTAGTATCCTGAACCGAGGTTGGGAGGTTAAAGTAACTCACATTCACAGATAAGGGAATGCAATAGCGGATTTTCTAGCGTCTTTGGCCTCTCATTTAGACTGGGATTTACACACCCTTACGAATGTTCCCCCTCCTTGCATGGAGGTTGTTAGGAAAGATATCCAAGGGGTAACCTCTCCTCGGATGATCCGTGTTTTTTCTTAGGCCTTGGCCTAAGTTCTTGTTGTATTAGTTTCCTCTCTGTGTGTGTGTTCGAGGGTCCAAAATAATTAAGGACAATTTCCATTCAAATTCTTTATACCCGAAACTAAACTTACTAAATTAAGTTTTATATATATATATATTTATGTTCGCGTGACATTTTTCTTAAAGTTTTATGTCCATTTACTTTGGCATTCTTGAAAAGTTACACAAAAAAAAAGAACGCTCGATTCGAATACCCGAGCCAAAAGTCATGCCCTTTTGAAATTTACATCGTTTTAGAATATAAAGAGAATTATATGAGGATTGTTCTTAATTATTTTGAACCCACAAACACTTATCTCAAGTCCATGAATATGTGTACATGACATTAGTCGATTAATATATGTACATGACATTAGTCCATTAAAGATGATAAACGAGTGAGATTTTATATGTTGAAATCCACTGTTATAGGCTTCTAGGCATGAGTTACTCGAGTACATACCTTGTACTCGAATAACTGAGTCACACGATAGTTTCTCGAGTACAAGGTCCATGTACTCAAGTAACTTGTCCGATCAATAGTCAAAGATGTGCAGATTAATGTATAATTTTGATAAAAGATTAAGATTTTTAAATAATTTAAAAATACAATAAAGTGATAATATTTATTTTAATTAGGAACAAAGGGTTATTCACCCTGAATAAGATAGTAACGCGCAAATTATTCAATAAAAAATACCATCTCATCTGCATTAAGTTTAACATTTAATGCTATTAGATATAGGACTCAACAAAGTCTTTCCTAACAATAGCTTCTATTAATATCATTTCAAGGTAAATTGTTCAATAAAAAATATCATCTCAACAAAGTCTTTCCAAATACGATAGTAACGCGCAAATGATAAATGATTCATATTGTTTATAAATAATCTATAAAGGACCATAAATGCCTTGCTTACTTATCATTGGAAAGTGTATTAACATAAATACGAAAGTAAGAAGAGGTAATACAAAAGTATGTAAACTATAAAAATAAGATAAGGTAAATTGTCCCACACTAGCATTTTCACCTATTAAGTCTACCAAAGACGATCCTATTACAAGAACAGCTTCGCGTACACCTATTACAATTTTTATTTCCCAATAGCCAATTTGATCCCAAGGTAAGGAATAACTAGTTACACCAAAATATGCCATCATTACAGCCAAAACTACACCCGTAATCCAATTTTTTTAAAACTGTCAGTAAGATACACATGGAAAACGTGCAACATCATCATTACTGTTTAGTACTTATCATTTTCCATGTAAACTGTACTTATCATTTTCCATGTAGTTCTTATTTCAAAAATTTGGATAATTGAACAAGAAGTTTCCTTTGCCTCTTCATAACCATAACAAATATGAGCAATTCTGACAACATTCACAGACAATGTTTGATTGTATTTTGCGCTTTTTTTTCTTAAAATTATTTGGTAAAATAATTAATAAAAGAAAAAAGTGTATATTCCATAAAGGATATAAATTTAGATTCTTTTAAGAGAGAAATAGACATAGAAGTGAGACCCACACTTTTTTTTGTTTTTATTTTTTCAGTGGAACTCACACCTCTTTATATCTATCTTTATCTTAAAAAGACCTAAATTTTTCTTTTAAAAGAACACACTTTTTCCTTAATAAAATATATATTTTTTGTGTTTTTTTTTAAAGAAAAATTAAAACACAAAACAAAACAAATCAGACAAATTCTCTAAATTTGATTCTAAAAACAAAAAATTAATTACAAATTTTAAAACTATTTTTACAAAACAGACCTTATCAAACAAATTATTTTATTTTTTTATTCTGAAAATAAATAAAAAAACTATTTTTAAAAACAGTATTCAAACAAGGCCATAATATTATCTTTAAATATTAACTAAATCACTACACATAATCACCAAAATTCTTTAACGGCCGGACCAGCATACCATAACCAAAATTGTGACTACATATAATATTTCGAAAGGCATAGCTACTCGAACGAGTTGCTGCTGAACCAATCATATTAAAATATTACAAAAATAGCCATCATTATTTACTAAAAAAACAATATACTACAAAAATGGTACATACACTCGAGATGTAATCTACCATGGCTAATTTTAAATCCTTATAATAATTCTTAATTATTAATAAAAATTAAATACTTTTTAGTTCCAAAAACATACTTTTACTTTTTCATTCATTATTTTCTGTGGTAATTAATCAGGAAAATATTAGAAAAAATTGTTAGGAAGATATAACATTACTCTTCTAAATTAGCCAACTTTGTCGAACTTTGCATAACAACTAGTTTGATAAGGAACTTTTGGCCCATATATATTCAGAACTTTGTAATACATATGTAAGACGATACTCTACCAATCCTTGAGCAGCTCGCCAGCAACATCCTTATAGCTAACTTTCTTTTTCTTTGTAGTTGAAGGCTCTGCATTGGAGATATCTGGTAGCTTCTCTTCTCCAATATCACGATTCATAGTTTGCTCAACTTTCTTCGGGGCAAGGCTAGGAATCATGTTAAATAACATCGCTTGCACTGGATCAGCCAAAATTTCAAGTTTCTCAGTCACCTGCGTGTTTTGGTCATTGTGCCTATCAGTCATTTCAATTTCGGGGACAAACATACTTTCATGTTCACTGTCCTTCAAATCCTCTTGCTTGATTGCCTTGTGATGTTCAGAACTTTCTGCTGTTTCCTTAACTGGGACATTTGAGCGTTTCTCAGTATCCTGGAGTTCTGAATGTTTCTTGTTAAAATAAGGACTTCCTTCTCTAGTGTCAATGTCCTGTTCATACGGTTTTTTGTCACGAGAATCACTTTCATCTGATTCATATTCACATATTTTAGCACGCTTTTTCACAATCTGTGCTCGTGCTCTTCGAGCTTGGTTGCCAGCTATTTTCACCTTTTTGGTACCACCACCTGCAGGTCTTCCTCTTTTCCTTTGGCCACCCTTCTCTTGGGACACCAAAGCCAGATCTTCAGGAGTAGATTTTGCACTTCTCTGTTTACTTCCCTTGTCAGAGAAAGATATATTTTGGTCTTCTACATTTTCTCCACCCAGATGAGCCTCTAACGCCAAGTCATGTTCACTAAAACAGATAGCAAAAAACCATCAAATGCATAGAAAAATATAGATAGAATACAAGTGCACATTTCTTGTAAGGATTCCTCCATTTTATCATAACTAATACCATTAAATTTGCATTTGCCGCCTGGTGTATCATCTCAAACACCAGAGGACTATAAACAATATTTTTAGCAGAGATATACTAGCCGTGGAAAAAATTTCATTAGCCTATACTTGTTAAGAAAAGTCAAGTCTTAGTGATACCAAAGAAAAAACAGGAATGACAAACTCAGCTGAGTTTGTCATTCCTGTTTTTTCTTTGGTATCACTAAGACTTGTCATAGATGAGAAAATTGTTACAAGTAGACATGCATTAATCATAGATGCTCAAGTAGGCAGGATAACATAGTCATTGATACTCTTATACCATGTCATACAACCAATTCTCCGAAAAACATAAGTTGTGAAATAAAGACACATGAATAGTTTCAATATTATACTCCTCACAATAGTACGTGTGAGGAAAAAAAATATATATATATATATATATAGTCTTCCACGAGTCAGATTGCAAATACTGCTTATGCATAAACTTACCAATCTTCAGCAGTTGATTCTTCTATTCCAATGGGCTTCAAGCAATAAGTGTCTTCTGGTAGTCTTCGGCTACTGTCCAAACAATCTTCTAACCACTGGGATTTAACAATATGCAACCTCTTGCTTCGGAGAATTTTTCTCTCTACGGAAGTGAAACTACATAGTTGAAAACAGAGGAACGGGAAATTATGTTATTTTCATTCAGAATAGAAGGTTAGAATATATACACTATAATAGCAAGCTGTCAGGAGAGGAAAAAGGAATTAAAAAGGGATAACTACTCCTAAACTTCAGCCAACAGACAGAAAACTACCAAAAAAAAGCTAATAATTCCATAATTTCAGGATTAATCCAATCCCTTAATCCTTGGGATTTTAATTCAGGATCTTATGTTCGCTCTAAAGAAGGTGAATAAATGTCCATCACTCCCAGCTTCCTAACATCCAAATCCATGTAGCTTCCTAACATCGAAATCCATGTGGGACTTCAGCAAGGCTTTTGTAAACATATCAGCTTATTTTGACTTGGTTGACACATAATGTAGGCTCAAAGTTCCATTTTCAATTTCTGATTTCATGAAATTTCTGTCAATCCTAGGATTATACTAATAGCTGATTTGCTGACATTGTATATTTTCGTAGGACCTTCAAGTGGAATAAATGGGTCCTTCTAACTACCTATTTACCCAAATTAGTTAACAAACTCCATGAGCAAAGCTCTTCCTCAGCACTACTTACAACAATTTATTTCTTGCTTCTCCAAGTCATGACATTTCACAAACTTTGTGCAATACCCAGTTGTTATCTTTGTGCCTTCTAATGAGCCTGCCCAATCCCGCATATGCATAGCACTCAATCCCTCATTTGCATAGCACTCAATCCCTTGGTGACTATTTTTCTGGAGCAACAGTTGTTGTAACTATTATAGATTTGTTTTTCCTTTTATTACATAGATTATGATAGGACAAACCATAGGGAAGATATGTGACAAATTATAGGTTTGATTTACTCCTCATTTGTTTCCCTGAAGCTAGAATGCATGAAAAATATCATATAATATCTTGATTGTATCTTCAGAATAATTTAGAGTATCTTATAGATCTTGTAGAAAATTAGAATTCAAACATGTTTCCGTTTTTATTTCCTATTAATTAGGATTGATTATGATTGATTAGGATTGATTATGATTGATTAGGATTAATTGTGATTGATTAGAATTGATTGTGATTAGGATTGTGATAGGATTGATTAGTCATCGCTTAGTCATTCTTAGCGATTCTTTCTTGTATAAATACTCACTCATGTAATTTATTCAATATCAATATACAAAAACTTCTTTTCAATATGGTATCAGAGCGGGTTCGTTCCTACCCTAATTCAAATCTGAAATAACCATCCAAACACTTCCATCACCGTCAAACACCTCCTAAACACTGCCTTGAATCTGTCCAACACAGAAACCTAGTTTACTGACCTCCGATCAAAAAAGTGAGGTGACCATTCGACTCAGAAGGATCCGACGAGTCGACCGCCGCTGGACCCATCGCCGTCAGCCGCTGCACGCGCCACCACGCGCCGCCTTCCAGACGTTTTTTTTTTCCGTCGCGACTTGCACAGACCTTCTCGCCGGCTTCTCCCCTTCCTGTTCCAGAGGTCAGATCAAAAGTTTACAAAACTTGATTTTTCATCAACGGTCAACCCTTCTCTTTTTATTCATGGCTTCCTCAAAACACTCTTTTTATTACCACGAGCAACCTCCTAAGGCCACTAGTCATGTGGTCCAGCAAGGTACAACTTTCCATGTTGATAGTCAAAATCATTGGATCCTTGATTCTGGAGCCTCTGATCATATGACAGGTAATCTTGGCTTGTTTTGTTCATACACTCCATATTCTGAACCTTCTCGGGTCAAGATCGCCGATGGCAGTTTTTCCCAGATTGCGGGACACGGCACCATTAAACTTTCTGAGCTGATTACTTTGACATCAGTTCTTTATGTTCCTTCTCTGACTTGTAATCTCATTTCCATTAGCAAGCTCACCTCTGAGTTGCATTGCTTTGCTAAATTCTTTCCACATGGTTGTGTTTTTCAGGAACAGGACTCGGAGAGGATGATTGGCAGTGCTAGAGAGGATGGTGGACTTTACTACTTTGAGGAGGATGTGACTCATGAAGCTGTTTTCGTAGAAAAAAACTCTATGTTTCCTTTTGATTCATGTAATGATGTTATGTTGTGGCATCGTAGGCTAGGCCATCCAAATTTTATTTATCTTCAGAAGTTGTTGCCAAACTTATTTATTAATAAAAGTCCAAGTTTGTTTTCTTGTGATATTTGTCAACTTGCCAAGCATACTCGTGCTCATTATCCTTCTAAAGTTCACCATGACTCTTCCCCATTTTCCTTAATTCATAGCGACATATGGGGTCCAGCCCGTGTTAAAAATATTTCAGGTACTCGATGGTTCATTACCTTCATTGATGACCATTCTCGAGTTTGTTGGGTATATCTTCTAAAGGATAAGTCCGATGCTGCATCCGTGTTTAAAAAATTTCATGCCATGGTTCAAACCCAATTCCAAGTTGCTATACAAATTCTTCGTACAGATAATGGCAAAGAGTATTTTAACTCTATTCTTGGAGAATATCTTTCCCAACATGGCATCCTTCACCAAAGCTCGTGTCCTGACACACCCCAACAAAACGGAGTTGCGGAAAGAAAAAACCGACATCTCCTTGAAGTAGCTCGGGCTCTTATGTTTACCACGAGTGTTCCTAAATATCTTTGGGGAGAGGCAGTTCTCACTGCCTCGTATCTGATAAATCGAATGCCATCTCGCATTCTGAAATTTCAGTCTCCTCTTTCTAGTCTTGTTCGTATCTTCCCTTCCTTCCGAGGTGTCTCCTCCTTACCTCTCAAGTTATTTGGTTGTGTTGTATTTGTCCATATTCCCTCCCATCAACGGTCTAAGCTTGATCCTAAGTCTCTCCAGTGTGTCTTTATTGGTTATTCTCCTACTCAACGTGGCTATAAGTGTTATTCACCCTCTCTTCGTAAGGTCTTTGTCTCTATGGATGTCACTTTTTCTGAGAATGACCCTTTCTTCCCCTCGACTTCTCTTCAGGGGGAGTCTATAGGAGTAGATGAAGATCAGTCATGGGAACCTATTAATGCCACAGTATTACCTCTACTTTTAGAAACAGGGGGAGCTACAGAATCCTCACCATCAGGAGCCTCCTCAAAATGGGGACAAGTCTATAGCAGGCGAAAGCCTCCTCAAAGTGTGAATAACCCAGAGCCTCTACATTGCCAGGATTCTGAACCATGTTCTAGTTCCAGCACCCCAATACTTGAGTGTCATGGTGAAAATGATCTACACTTGCCCATTGCTCTCAGAAAAGGTACTCGATCTTGTACTACTCATCCTATTTCTAATCATATTTCATATGGAAAGTTGTCCCCAGGGTTTCGTGCTTTCAATACTATGTTGGATAGTACAAAGATACCGAGAAATATACATGAGGCTCTCAATGATAAAAAATGGAGGGATGCTGTCTTTGAAGAAATGAATGCTTTAGAAAGAAATGGAACTTGGGAGATAGTGACCCTACCCAAAGGAAAAAAGGCAGTAGGATGCAAATGGGTGTTTACAATAAAATTCAATGCAGATAATAGCATCAACAGATACAAGGCAAGATTGGTTGCAAAGGGTTTCACTCAGACTCATGGGATAGATTATCATGAGACTTTTGCTCCGGTTGCTAAAGTCAATACCATCCGAGTTCTCTTATCTCTTGCTGCCAATCTAGATTGGTCTCTGCAACAGTTAGATGTGAAGAATGCATTCCTAAATGGTGACTTACATGAAGAAGTCTATATGGATCCTCCACCTGGTTTTGAAAAGGGAAATGGATCAGTGTGTAAACTAAAAAAGTCTCTATATGGATTGAAACAGTCTCCCAGAGAATGGTTCGACAAATTCACACAAGCAGTCAAAAGAAGAGGCTTCATTCAAGCACAGACTGATCATACTCTCTTCCACAAACACTCTAAGGATGGTAAAATTGCTATTCTTATTGTATATGTAGATGATATAATTCTTACAGGTGATGATATTGAGGAATTGAACACCTTGAAGAAATTTCTAGCAGCTCAATTTGAACTCAAAGACCTTGGCACTCTCAAATATTTCCTTGGTATGGAAGTTGCTAGGAGCAAAACAGGTATCACTCTAACACAAAAGAAATATGTTCTAGATCTTTTGTTGGAAACAGGAATGTTAGGGTGTAAACCTGCTGAGACACCTGTGGAACCTAATACCAAGTTAGGTATTGAAGATGGAAATGAGGTGGATAAAGAACAATATCAGCGATTGGTTGGTAAACTAATCTACTTATCTCATACGCGTCCTGACATTGCCTTTGCGGTGAGTATGATTAGTCAATTCATGCACTCACCCAAGGAGAAGCATCTTAGTGCAGTCTATAGGGTGCTTAGATACCTCAAGAATACTCCAGGAAGAGGATTATTCTTTAAAAAGGGGTATAAAAGGACAATTGAAATCTACACTGATGCAGATTGGGCAGGCTCATCAGTAGACAGAAGATCTACCTCAGGCTATTGCACCTATGTGTGGGGAAATCTTGTTACTTGGAGAAGCAAAAAGCAAACAGTGGTTGCAAGAAGTAGTGCTGAAGCAGAATTTCGAGCTTTAGCTCATGGAGTTTGTGAAGGAATCTGGTTGAGAAGACTTCTTCAAGAGTTGAAGATTTCATATTCCCTACCAATAAAACTATATTGTGACAACAAGACAGCTGTTAGCATTGCTCAAAATCCTGTGCATCATGATCGAACAAAGCACGTGGAAGTTGATCGTCACTTCATCAAAGAAAAATTAGATGATGGAAGTGTGCATTTGATATATGTTCCAACCAAAGAGCAAACGACAGATGTCCTTACCAAGGGCCTACACCGTCCAGCATTCGAAGACTTGATTGGCAAGTTGGGAATGATCAATATTTACCTCCCAACTTGAGGGGGAGTGTAGAAAATTAGAATTCAAACATGTTTCCGTTTTTATTTCCTATTAATTAGGATTGATTATGATTGATTATGATTGATTAGGATTAATTGTGATTGATTAGAATTGATTGTGATTA